GGCGGATGCCAGACAGTCCCGCTTCTCTCATTTGAGTCTGTTTCCCTAGAGACTCGCCCGGAACTGGAGCTCAGAGCCTGAGACTCCTTCCCGATTGAAAACGACAACCACGCCCTCAGCCACCAGTCCGCTCCATGCACCTCCGCACCTTTGTATTTTCCGCACTGCGCCTCCTCTGAGTCTCGGTATGCTGTTCTCTTTCCTTCTAGTTGAAGAATTTCCCCTCAGCCAGGTTTCCTGTGGTTCTGGGTGATGTCCGTTCCATCTTTTAGTTGTATTTTTGAAGTGGTTGTGCGAAGCAGCATTCTCCGATGTTTACCTATGCCGCCACCTTGGTTCTCCTCTCCTCTTTTCCTTTTCTTATAAAAACACCAATCCCACCATCACAGTGAGGGTTAGGGCTCCAACATGCAAAGTTTGAGAGGAATACAAACATCCAGTCCATAGCAGGGTCCGAGTGACTGCAGTGCCATCAAGACAGCTTACAAGCACTCCCAGGCAGGAAGCAGCCTGGGGCCTGTGGAAGGGCCAAGAGCCAAAGGCTGACCAGCTGCCTCCAGGGGCAAGGCAGTTCCCAGTGAGCATTTCATCACCTCAGAAAGTTCCCTCCTGCTTCATTACAGTCAATCTTCCCACCCCACTGTCCCCAGCAAACCACCAACCTGCTGTTACTACAGCTTAGCTTTGTCTGTTCTAGAATTTCATATAAAGAAAGTCACCCAGCATGTACTCTTTTGTGTTTGGCTTTTTCACTCTGCATAATATTTTAAAGATGCATGCATGTTATAGATCAGTAACTTGTTCTTTAAAATTATTGACATATCTTTAATTATATTGGATATACCACAATTTATTCATTTTCCTATCAATGCTGTTTGAGTTGTTTCTGATTGTTGGTTAATGTGAATAAAACTGCTATAAACATTTATATATAAATTTTTCTGTGGACATATATTTCCATTTCTCTTGGATAAATACCACAGATGAAATTATTGTTACATTATGTATGTTAACTTTTTTTTCCTTTTGTTCTTTTTTTCTTCATTCTTTTTGTTTTTTTGTCTTTTCTTTTTTTGTTGTTGTTAACTTTATTATTGCCAATCTATTTTCCAAAGTGGTTGTACCATCTAACACTCCCACCAGCAGTGAATGAGAGTTCCAATTATTCCATATCCTCACCACTACTTGGTATTGTTAGTTTTTTTCATTGTAGCCATTCTGGTGGGTGTGTATCTCATCGTGGTTTTTTAAATTTGCATTTCTCTGTTGGTTAATGACACTGAGCATATTTTTATTTGTTTATTGGACATTTATATATCTCCTTTAACAAGTGTTCAAGTCTTTTGTCTGTTTATTTTAATAGATTTTTTTAAAAAAATTATTTAACAAAATTTTATAAAAGTGATTGAGGTCATTATTGTTTCCCTTTTACAGGTAAGGAAAGTAAGTCCAGAGGAGAAGGCTCACCCAGGCTTTGTTACAGCAGACAACCAGCAGTTTGTGGCAGCAACTCCAAGTTATTCTGATCAACTATCTGTATTGCAAAGGGAGGCACTGCTCTCCTTAAGCTGTGCTGAATGACCCCCACCTGCGTAGTAGGCTTTATTCAAGGTAGTTAGATGTTTGAACACAAACCAGAACCCCCTGATATTTTAGTTTCCTGTCCAGTAAAAAATTAAATTTAAAAATCAGACATGCACCTCATTAATAGAAAAACATCCTATGTTCATGGATCAAAAGACTTAACATGGTTAAGATGCCAGTACTCCTCAAATTGATCTACAGATTCAACATACTCCATATCAAAACCCCAGCTGGGGGTT